GGGCCAGAAGGTTGAGAAGCACTGATCTAGAAGATCGACCGGAAGGTTGTTTGGCTGTCAGGTCTAATTAGCATATTATGCTTTTATTATAGATGGTGTGGAACGATGCATACCACTGGCCTCCTCACCCATGATCTGCTAATTCAACCCCTGAAGCTAGAAAACAGTAGTTTTGATCCCCATTTGGGAATTTTTGAATGCAGAGGGCCGATGGGAAGTTTTAGTGAGGGAATTTGCACACCCAGTTTATTCAAAGTGTGCAATTCGGTGGTTGTCAGTATACTTCCAGAGTTGTGCAACCATCACCACTGTCTATTTTTAAGAAATTAAATATTGTTGAAAGTATCTGGATTTTCCCCACTGACCCCTTCTAACCTGCCCCGTCCCCCACCCCAAGCCTTCAACACTATTGTCTGTGTCCGTGGGTTATGACCACTATCTACTTTAAAATGTTTCATCATCCCCAAAAGAAACCTCACACTCAGTAATCTCACCCCCTCTCCTCCCAGCCCCTGGCAACCATCTATCTTCTGTCTGTATGGATTGGCCTTTCCTGGCCATCTCGTGTACACAGTCCTGCGACGCGGTCATTTGTGTTCGGCTTCTTTCACTGAGCACCATGCGTTCAAGGTTCCTCGGGCTGTGGCAGGGTCAATCCTTCATGCCTTTTTCTTTGAATCCTCATGGAGGATATGCTTACTGATTTTAACGAGGGGGAAGGAAGGGAGAGAGAACTATTGATGTGAGAGAGAGCATTGGTCGGCTGCCTTCCAGAAATGCCCCAATTGGGGATCGAACCCACAACCTAGGTATGTGCTCTGACCAGGAATCAAGCCTGCGACCTTTTGGTGCACTGGACGATGCTCCAATCAGCTGAGCCACCCGGCCGGGCAGCACTGCCTTCCTTTTAATGGCCAGGTGAGACCACTGTGTGGACATTCACCCATTCATTAGGAGGTGGACACTGGAACCTTTGGCTTTTATGAGTGATGCTGCTACAAACAAGGTTATGTTCCAATTCTCTTGGGCACGCACACACACACCCACACACACTTACGTGGAAACACTACTGTACAGTATTTTTTAAAAATATATTTGTATTGCTTTCAGAGGGAGAAACATCCTATATAATAAAAGGGTAATATGCAAATTGAGCCTAACAGCAGAACAACTGGTCGCTGTAACACGCCCTGACCACCAGGGGGCAGACACTCAACACAGGAGCTGCCCCCTGGTGGACAGTGGACTCCCACAGGGGGAGCTCCGCTCAGCAACAGTGGTGGGAGCCTCTCTGCCTCCTTGGCAGCACTAAGGATGTCCGACTAACGGCTTAGGCCTGCTCCCTGTGAGGGCTCCCAGGCTGCCAGAGGGATGTCTGACTGCCAGTTTTTTTTAATACGGAAAATTCAGAAATAGCGTGAATAGCCATCAGCAGAGGACCAGCCATTCCCTAAGGTCCCGGCAGGTTATGGCAATGGATGAAGGTTCCAGAATTAGCCACCGGGGGGAGCTGGGCACTTTGCTTAGCTGGAGAGCACCTGGATCATTGCGCCTGGCACCCGGACCCGGGTGAGTGCTGCCAGGACCTCCGTTTTCAGGAGAAGATGGACATATATTTTTAAGCTGCATTTTCTAGACTTTAAATGCCTCTGTTGGTGTTAGAAGTCAAGAGGAGGGTGGAGGATGGGTAATAATCAGAAGAGGCTACTTCGTGCAGTGACACAAGTGTGTGCGGTTTGTGTTGATTGATGTTGTGCGCTGATGCACACTTTTCCACATGCTGTCACACTTTAATAAAAATGCCCTCCGCCCTGGCTGGTGTGCTCAGCGGTTAGAGCAGCGGCCCGCAAACCAAAGGGTTTCAGGTTTGGTTTCCAGTCAAGGGTGTGTACCTGGGTTGCAGGTTCAATCCCTGGCTCTGACTAGGGTGTGTGTAGAAGGCAACTAATTGATGTTTCTCTCTTGCATTGATGTTTCTCTCTCTCTTCCCCCCTCCCACTCTCTCTAACAATCAATGGAAACATCCTCAGGTGAGGATTAACAAAAAGGAAAAGAAAAAAAACACGGAAATCTTCCAGCTGCTTCAAAATGCAGTGTTTTAACGGCATCTATGCCTTCTTCAACTGAGGAAATGATGTTCAACATCATCAAGAGTTTTTTAAAATGAAAACTAGCCCAGCCAGCATGGCTCAGTGGTTGAGCACCGACCTATCAACCTGGAGCTCATGGTCCGATTCCCAGTCAGGGCACATGTCCAGGTTGCAGGCTCGATCCCCAGTAGGGGGCGTGCAAGAGGCAGCGGGTCAATGATTCTCATCATTGATGTTTCTATCTCTCCTTCTCCCTTCCTCTCAGAAATCAATAAAAATACATTTTTAAAAAAAAGAACTTAAGAGGAGAAAAAGTCTATTACATTTATGCATATTTATCATTTCTGTTGCCTTTTCTCCAATTCCTGAAGTTCCAAACTTCCCTCTGGTGTCCACCTACATCTCTCAAAGTGGGATGTCAATAGATGCCACCTAGAAAGTGTCAAAGATGCCACCTAACCACGTGACAGCACCATTAGCACATTCATCAGAAACAGCAAGACGGCAGGAGAAATGGGAGTGGATTCAGAAGTTAGGAGATATTTCTGTTGCAGCGAAAGCCACATAGAACCATTGGACTTACTCAACTAGGTACATGTGTCACCTTGAAAAAGGGTAAAGGGAAGGAGAGGAGGAGAAAGGGTGGCTGGTGGTTGAGCTGGGAGCCCAGGTGTGGGCAGGAGGAAGACTCCAGGGAAGCTGTATGTTGGGGAAGACATTTTCCTGTGATTTGCATCATGGGAAGGCGAGCAACCAGCCCAGCGAAGGAAGCAGAGCCTGCACAGGAGGCAGAGGGGCGAGCCCAGGCCCTTCTAGAACTCCTGGCGGCCACCGGACAAGTGTCCAGTGCTGCCTAGACGTGTAGCAAGATGAGGGATTGGTGACATGGAGGTCACTGGCGACACTAAAGGGGGCTGTCTGGTGGGGTGCTGGGGTGGAGGCCAGGTTGGAGGGGGGAGAGGGTGGGCAGATGGGGATGTGGACAGAACCTGAGGGGACATCTTTCCAGGAAGAGGGGCCGCCAAGGGCAGGAGAGAGGGGGGCTGTGTGTTTTCAAATTGGGAGAGGCTTGTCGCAGTCAGAACGAAAAAAAAAGAGGAGGCAGGAGGAGGCAGGAGGAGGCAGGAGGAGGCAGGAGGAGGCAGAGGTAGCTGGCTCGCCCTCCCAGGCGCAGGAGGGAGGTGCTCACTCATCCTTGGGCGCCTGGTGCGCACAGCGCTGTCCCACCCACAGGTGGAAGGTAACCATTTGCCTCAGCTTACCCGGCTGAGGGAACCCAGCTGTTTCCACCTCCAAAGCTGGGCCTCTGGGCTGCCCTCGGCCCCCCAGAGTCCCTACTCTGCTGGCGAAGTCACCCCTCAGAGAGGCAAGCTCTTCAGGCACCGGCCAACGGGGAAGCCCCAGCTGGGTGCCTGTGAGGCCAGAAGAGTCCAAAGGTGGACCAAGGAGGCCCAGTGCGCGTGAGGAGGGAGGCGCTGTGACCACGAGGCTCAGTCCCCCGCAGTGGGCATCCCCCACTCCACCCAGGAGCGGTCTCTGCCCCGGATCTTTGGGCGTCAGAGACTCTGAGATGTAATGAGAACTCCGGATCAGCGAGGTCTGCCCGAGGGCAGTGCCGCCAGGTGATGGGACCCTGAGACTGGCAGGTGAGGCCTCCGGAGGAGAGCGTGATGCAGGCAGGAAGCAGCTGGCGCCTCGGGGAGAGAGACCTGGGGAGGAGAGGAGGGGGGCGGAGGGCAGCGGGAGGGGCGTGGACGGAGCCTGACCACCGGCCGAGCACACTGGAAAGGGGCGGGGGTCCGGAGAGGGACGAGCTTAGGTCGCCAGTTCATGAGGGTGGCCCAGCCCT